TCATAGATGGCTTTTATGATATTGAGGTATGTACCCTCTATGCCTATACTCTGAAGAGTTTTGATCAAGAAAGGATGCTGTACTTTGTCAAATGCTTTTTCTGCATCTATTGAGAGGATCATATGGTTCTTGTTCTTTCTTTTAAAATGTATTGTATCACATTGATTCATTTGTGGATGTTGAACCAAACTTGCAGCCCAGGGATAAATCCCACTTGGTTGTGGTGACTAATCCTTTTAATGTACTGTTGGATCCTTTTGGCTAGTATTTTGGTGAGAATTTTTGCATCCATGTTCATCAAGGATATTGGTCTGTAATTCTCCTTTTGGATGGGGTCTTTGTCTGGTTTGGGAATCAAGGTAATGGTGGTCTCATAAAATGACTTTGGAAGTTTTCCTTCCATTTCTATTTTTTTTTTTGGAACAGTTTCAGAAAAATAGGTATTAATTCTTCTCGAAATGTTTGGTAGAATTCCCCTGGGAAGCCATCTGGCCCTGGGCTTTTGTCTGTTGGGAGATTTTTGATGACTGCTTTAATTTCCTTAGTGGTTATAGATCTGTTCAGGTTTTCTGTTTCTTCCTGGTTCAGTTTTGGTAGTTGATGCATCTCTAGGAATGCATCCCTTTCTTCCAGATTATCTAATTTGCTGGCATAGAGTTGCTCATAATATGTTCTTATAATTGTTTGTATTTCTTTGGTGTTGGGTGTGAGCTCTCCTATTTCATTTTAATTTTATTTATTTGGGTCATTTCTCTTTTCTTTTTGATAAGTCTGGCCAGGGGTTTATCAATCTTGTTATTCTTTCAAAGAAAGAGCTCCTAGTTTCATTGATCTGTTCTACTCTTCTTTTGGTTTCTATTTCATTGATTTTTGCTCTGATCTTTATTATTTCTCTTCTCTTGTTGGTTTTAGGCTTCATTTGCTGTTCTTTCTCCAGTTCCTTTAGTTGTAGGGTTAGGGTGTGTATTTGAGACCTTTCTTGTTTCTTGAGAAAGGCTTGTATTGCTATATACTTTCCTCTTGGGACCACCTTTGCTGCATCCCAAAGATTTTGAACAGTTGTGTTTTCATTTTTATTTGTTTCCATGAAATTTTTTAACTCTTCTTTAATTTCCTGGTTGACCCATTCATTCTTTAGTAGGATGCTCTTTAGCCTCCATGTATTTGAGTTCCTTCCAACTTTCCTCTTGTGATTGAGTCTAGTTTCAAAGCATTGTGGTCTGAAAATAGGCAGGGAATGATCCCAAACTTGTGGTACCAGTTGAGACCTGATTTGTGACCTAGGATGTGATCTATTTTGGAGCATGTTCCATGGACACTAGAGAAGAATATGTATTCTGTTGCTTTGGGATGGAATGTTCTGAATCTATCTGTGAAGTCCATTTGGTCCAGTGTGTCATTTAAAGTCTTTATTTCCTTGTTGCTCTTTTGCTTAGATGATCTGCCCATTTCAGTGAGGGGGGTGTTAAAGTCCCCCACTACTATTGTATTGTTGTCGATGTGTTTCTTTGCTTTTGTTATTAATTGGCTTATGTAATTGGCTGCTCCCATGTTATGGGCATAGATAGTTAAAATTGTTAGATCTTCTTGTTGGATAGACCCTTTAAGTAGGATATAGTGTCCTTCCTCATCTCTTATTACAGTCTTTGGTTTAAAATCTAATTTGTCTGATATAAGGATTGCCACCCCAGCTTTCTTTTGGTGTCCATTAGCATGGTACATGGTTTTCCACACCCTTACTTTCAATCTGGAGGTGTCTTTGGGTCTAAAATGAGTCTCTTGCAGACAGCATATCAATGGGTCTTGTCTTTTTATCCAATCTGATAGCCTGTGTCTTTTGATTGGGGCATTAACCCATTTACATTCAAGGTAACTATTGAAAGAAATTTAGTGCCATTGTATTGCCTGTAAGGTGACTGTTACTGTATATTGTCTGTGTTCCTTTCTGGTCTATGTTACTTTTAGGCTCTCTCTTTGCTTAGAGGACCCCTCTCAATATTTCTTGTAGGGCTGGTTTCATGTTTGCAAATTCCTTTAGTTTTTGTTTGTCCTGGAAGCTTTTATCTTTCCTTCTATTTTCAATGACAGCCTAGCTGGATATAGTATTCTTGGCTGCATATTTTTCTTATTTAGTGCTCTGAATAGATCATGCCAGTCCTTTCTGGCCTGCCAGGTCTCTGAGGATAGGTCTGTTGCAATCTAATATTTCTACCATTGTAGGTTACAGATCTCTTCTCCTGAGCTGCTTTCAGGATTTTCTCTGTGTCTCTGAGACTCGTATGTTTTACTATTAGATGTTGGGTTGTTGACCTGTTTTTGTTGATTTTGAGAGGGGTTCTCTGTGCCTTCTGGATTTTGATGCCTGCTTCCTTCCCCAAATTAGGGAAGTTCTCTGTTATAATTTGCTCCAGTATACCTTCTGCCCTTCTCTCTTTTTCTTCTTCTTCTGGGATCCCAATTATTCTAATGTTGTTTCGTCTTACGGTATCACTTATCTCCCCAATTCTGGCCTCCTGATCCAGTAGTTGTTCATCTCTCTTTTTTCAGCTTCTTTCTTTTCCATCATTTGGTCTTCTATATCAGTAATTCTCTCCTCTGCCTCATTTATCCTAGCAATTAGAGCCTCCATTTTTTATTGTACCTCATTAATAGCCTTTTTTATTTCAACTTGGTTAGATTTTAGTTCTTTTATTTCTCCAGAAAGGGTTTCTCTAATAACTTCCATGCTTTTTTCAAGCCCAGCTAGTATCTTTGAAATCATCATTCTGAACTCTAGTTCTGACATCTTACTAATGTCCATATTGATTAGGTCCCTGGCAGTCAGTACTGCCTCTTGTTCTTTTTTTTGAGGTGATTTTTTCCATTTTGTCATTTTGTCCAGAGGAATAGATGAATGAGAGAACAAAATGCCAACAGGGTAACAACGTCCCCAGAAAATATACACTAAACAAATCAGAAAAGACCTGAAACTGAGGGAAAAGAAAGGAAAGAAAGAAAAAAGAAAAAGATAAAAACAAAGAAAAACAAAACAAAAAATTGGAATATGATCAAATATGATCAGGCTGGTGCATAGATCAGTGCCACACACTAGATTTTGGGTGTATTTTGGTCTGTTAGAAGAAAGTGCCTCCCAAAATTTTAAGGAGAGAAAAACTTATTTATGTACAAAAATAAGGGTTAATATGATGAAGGAATGGAATATGACTGTAAAGATGAAAAGTATAAAAGATTTTATAAAAGGAATTGATAAGAAGTTGGTTGAAAAAAGAAAGAAGATTTAAAAAAAAAAGGGAGAGTATGTGATCAGGCAGGAGACTAGAACAAAGACATACACTAGAGATTTAGGGTATATTTTGGTCTGTTAGAAGAAACTGTATCCTAAAATTTTAAAGAGAGAACAACTTATATATATATACCAAAAATAAGGGTAACTTCTATGAAGGGATAAAAATGAAAAATAAAAAATATTTTTTTATAAAAGAGATTGATAAAATGTTGGTTGAAAAAGGGAAAAAGAAAAATTCCAAAAAAAAAAGAAAGAAAGTTAAAAAAATAATTAACTTTGAAAGACTAAAGTATCATGGGAAAAAAACCATGAATTCTTTGTGCAGTATTCTCCTAGCATTGGAATTCTGCCATTCTCATTGATGGGTAAACTTGGTCTTGGCTGGCTGTTCTTGCTGATCTTCTGGGGAAGGGGCCTGTTGCCATGGTTCCCAAATGTCTTTGCTGGAGGTGGAATTGCTCCGCCCTTGCTGGTCAGGGCTAAGTAATCTGCTCAGGTTTGCTCTGGGGAGCTTTTGTTCCCTGCAAGCTTTCCGTAGAGCTTTGGAGGATGAGAGTGAAATGGTGGCCTCCCAATCTCCACCCCGGAGGAGCCGAGAATCGGGTCCCCACTCCTCAGTGCACCCCCAGGGAAAAGCAGTCAATTACTCCCATCTCCCCGGTCCCCGGCCACACTCTGTGCTCACCCGGCCTGTGACCGAGTGTTTCTATCTCTGGCACTGGACCCCGTGTGGAGTCTCCAAACCCAGCAGATCTCTGCAGTGCGTTTCCATGCCACTCCTCCTGGGGGTGGAAGGTGAGTCTCCCCAATCTGCCACCTGTTGGGTCCCTGCTGGAGGAGCAGTGGCCTGACTGTGCCGTGGATCATGGTTTATGGCAAACCCAAGCTGAGAGCCTGCTCCTCGGATCCGTCTCTGCAGCTGGCTTCCCCACTCCGGTACCTGGGAGCTCTGCCGTGCTCAGGCACTCCTGGTTTTTCTGTGACCCCGAGGGTCCTGAGACCACACTGTCCCACGAGGGTTCCACCGCCCCCCCCCCCCCACCGCTTAGCCACTGGAGCAACGTCCCTTAGCGGAGCCGACTTCTAAAAGTTCCGATTTTGTGCTCTGCTGCTCTATCACGTGCCAGAAGCGGTGGACGGAGGCCTCCCCCGCCATCTATCCTCCCCAGTATCACCTCGGATTCACTTCTCCACACGTCCTACCTCCCAGAAATGTGTCACTTTTCTGTTCAGAGAGTTGTTGCTATTCTTTTCTTCAATCTCCTGTTGAGTTTGTAGGTGTTTAGAATGGTTTGATCCCTATCCACCTGAATTCCTGGGACCAGACGAAATCCAGGTCTCCTACTCCTCTGCCATCTTGCTCCTCCCCCCTTAATTATATATTTTTAATGATATTTTACCTATGTCTGCTATTTCCTCTGTTAGAATACGAGTTATATAGTGCTTACTTGTGTCATTTTGCACACAGAAGATACATCGGATTTGTTTGATACCTATTTTAAGTTTGTAAGACAGAAGTTTAGGAAGAATATGACAGCCGCAAATAAAATAAAATTCTTACCAAAAGCAAAGAGGGAGTTACACACAAGGGCATTTTACCATTTCCCTGCTGTTAAAAGATGTACATGTTTTCTTTTTAAAATAATACCTGTTATCTGCACAATGGTAACTATTCCCAAAGAAATCACTATGTGAACATTGTACATCTTTGCAGATCATTAATGCTGCACTTGCTTTGGCGGCAAGACCCAAAAGTCAAGTGGTCAAAAAAACCATGGAAATGTACAAGCACACGTGGGAGAATCATATCCATGTCCTCACCGAAGCTGTAGATGACATTACAAGCATTGATGACTTCCTTGCTGTATCTGGTATGTTTTGAATCTTTTAATTTATACATTTGCCCTTGTCAATTTTCTGAAACAGGATAATTCTGAATATAATTAATTTTATGCAATATAATGAGATTCTTGTTAATGATCATCTTTATCAAAGCAAAGTACTGTTATGTGTGATCTACTCTAGGATAATGAGCTTCATGCCTTGTAATCCGTACAACTCAACAATTTACACTGTGTCTCTAAAAGAAATGCCTATTTATAGACAAAGCATAATTGAAAATAGTACTGGAAATCTTAGGCATTTTCTGGCTTTTTGAATAAATAATCATCTCCCCCTTTAATATATTTATATCTTTTGATTTGTCTGCACTTCTTTTCTAACATAATTTTTCTTCACTAAAAATTTAGATAGATAGACAGAGAGGAAAACTCTTCATTGATTTGAGGTACAATATGTACTTCAGCTTCCAGTATATGTATTTGAATAACGGTGATCTAAATAATCAAATAAATAAGTCTAAACAGCTTACTACATCAGTTACAGATGGGCTTGAGATTTCATGTCAAACCTAGATGATTCTTTTATCACATAACAGAATAGCATACCATAGGATTATGAAATTACTCTAATAAAACCATACTCTCAGAAGCATAACTCAGGTTTTGATTATATTGTTATAACAGCAAAGAACTAAATACTTCTTAATCTTTTTTTATTTTCTTAGAAAAATTAAGCCTCTCCTTAAAATAAATTACATTTTGGGGGCACCTGGCCAGCTCAGTCGGAAGAGCATGCGACTCTTGATCTCAGGGTCCTGAGTTTGAGCCCCATGTTGGGTGTAGAGATTATTTAAATAAAAACTTTTTAAAAATAAAATAGATTACATCTTTTTCCTTTTTTTTTTGAAAGAGACTAGAATGTGATATTATTTTTTATAAAATGAATATTCTCATGAATTTCTAAAATCATTTTATCTTTTAAAAGTTTCCTGATGTAGTTTGTTTAACCTGTGGAACTCATTACTTTCATGCATGTATATATTCTCATCTTGAATGATAGTTCTGGAAACCTGGTGTATTTTCATGATACATTAATGAAAGAAATGTATGGTAATTATTTAATAAATTGTTTTATTTCTGCAGAGGTGAAAACTTTGAAAATAATAGAAAATGTATGGGTAAAAATATTAACATCCCTTGATCCCACTATTCAGAAATAACAACCATTGATATCTGATTTATTTCCATCCAAATATATATATATTTATATATATAAATATATATGTATAAACTTATGTTTTTAAATAATTGTGTCATGAGGCATATAATAAATATTTGGCTGAATTTTCCCACAACATTATACATTTTTCAAAAAAGCTGTTTTTCTTAGCATTTAGATAAATTGCAATTTTAACTATTATAAACAATGCTATGTTAAGCATATTTTTGTCTATTTACTGTCTTCTTAACATAGATTTTGTGTGTATGTGTGTCCAATCAACATCTTATATAGGGGCAATCTTTGGTTTAATTATTAAATGCTAGATTCTGTTTTTAATTGGTTCTTTTGGTTATAAAACAAAGAAACCTGCTCACACTACTCTCTGTAAAGGCAGTTTATTATAGGTATACTAATGACACAATAGGGAGAAGCTCCTGGACACATAAGAGCAAGAACTATAATTGGCCTGTCCTTGCCTGATTAGAGCTGTGGGAGCCCTGAGATCTGAGCAAGTCCATAGGTCCTGAGAACAGGAGCTCATGCTTTTTCTTTTCAGTGCTGGATTAACCTGACCCCCCAATCTTCTGAGTCTCCTACTTTCTGTGAACAGCTTTAGCACTTCAGCATGCTTTTCCTACACATAAGAGAAAACTCATGTGGAAGTTCCTTAAGTAACAAATAAACAAAAACAACAAAAATTCTGATAGAAAAGAAGTGCAGAGAAATCAAAAGATATAAACATTTATATACATGAGGGAAGGTACCTCATGTAACTAGATGTTTAAGATAGTTGATTCTAAACTTACTCGCCTAAGCATACCGAAGGACTTAGATAGGAATAGTCAAGACATATGAGGAATAGTATTTTATCACTAACATTGTTTAGAATTGTCAGCACAGGGTAATAATTAAAAAGTGGATTAATATTTAATGTGTTTCATTTTTGTTTTAAAATTCTCTACAGATAATGCACTCCATTAGTTTCTATACCCAGGGTGGATTGTTTCTACTTTCCTGCCCTTTGGATGTTCTAGCTGGTAGTGCTCTAAGGTTATTAATGACCTCTTTAGACATCTCTGGATTCTATTGACCTTCCCTCATGGTTGCGTCTCAGAGCTTACATCTCAAGCATCGTACAATACCACCTAAAGCAGGAAGGCAAGGTAGCTTGTTGGCTTCAAGTTATCAGGTGGAAATATTTCCTGGGTGACTTCCATCAGACTTTCTCTTATGTGTCATAGGTCAAAACTTGTTCCTGTACCTACACCTGAACCAACTGCTGGCAAAAGGAAATGGGATTTCTATGATAGGCTTAGAATGGTGACAAATGATTAATAACTGACTGGGGGCCAGAGGAAATGGTAGTCCTTATTTGTAGCACTTCCTGATTTCTGTGCCATAAATACTGCCACATAAGCAGGTTTTAAGCTACCAATGTGATGTCACTGAAGAGATGCAAAAAAACAAGTCTTGTGAGTTGGTATAACAGATTCTAGCAGACTACTGGGCTTAGACCAGTCGTAATTCAACCTCTCTGACTAATTACTTACAATGCAAACAAAATCAGAGGTTTTATGAGCAGAAAAGAAGGGAAATTAGCTGTTGACTAGAGACAAAAGATGTCTACCCCAGGCACTCCTTTCTCAGGTTTCTGTGCTTTCATAAACTTGTCTTGTTTAGTTTAGCATGAGCCCCATTCATGATTCTCATTATATCATAACTTTCTCTTTCTTTTTTTTTAAAGATTTTATTTATTTATTTGACAGAGACACAGTGAGAGAGGGAACACAAGCAGGGGGAGTGGGAGAGGGAGAAGCAGGCTCCCCGCGGAGCAGGGAGCCTGATGTGGGACTCGATCCCAGGACCCTGGGATCATGACCTGAGCCGAAGGCAATCGCTTAACCGACTGAGCCACCCAGGTGCCCATTACATCATAACTTTCAACATCGGTTCCCAGAAATAATGGCATCTTTTCTCACAATCTTCTAGCTGGCTTTATGTATACATCTTTTTTAGTACTAGGCTAGAAGTCCTAAGTCCAAGATCACAGGCCAACCAATGGGTGGAGTACTTTATTTCAGATAGCTAATCATGCTTCACAGAGCAGTGATGGTGGCTGTCACAGCCTGGCAGCTTTTGTGTGGGGGCAGGTTGTCTTAGAAAAAGTTGCAGATGTGATTAGCAGTGAACAACTTTTCTGGTGACACTTTATAATGATCGTTCAGAAATCCTGTTTGTACTCACAGACTGCTGGTTCCTCTGTTTGCCAGGTATAAAAACTGACAACTTAGTTCATGTTTGTGAATTACCTAGAGGATATTCTGTTTTCATGATTTTTATAAAATAATTTCATCTTTTTCTTCGGCTTTCTTTCAGTACTTGATAATAATACTCAATTCTTTTGTTGTTGTTGTTTTCTTTTATAAGAATAAATAATAGAGGCCCTGCAAAGATTTTCACTTTTCTTCTGAGTCAGTTGTGAAAATTTGGGGCTTCTCCGAACATCAGCTGTCCGCATTAAAATATAAACAAAACTTAAAACCTAAAACCAGTGAGAAAGGATTCTTGGACTTTAAACTATTATTTTATTGTCATTGGCAAAGGTAGGGATCACACTGGTAAAATGTTTGCATTATAATAATGTTTTAGAGTGATTAGATCATCTAATATTGACTAACAGCTTTTGAAATAATAACAAATGTCTTTTAACTATTGCTTTTCCCAATATAGAAATATCATTGATGATTTTTAAATTGTATGTTTATATAATCACCAAATTTTTCATGATATACAGAACTCAAAATACCAATTTTTAGAAGCCATTTTTGCATTATTTTGTTTTGTCATATACATAGAAAACTCTGAACATAAGTACAATCAGTGTTTTCTTGAAAACCATAACAGATATAGCAACTTCATCAATTTATTATATATTTAAATTTTTTATGTGTAAAAATAAAATGAAACAGTGAACCAAAACCCACCTTTAAAATCAAAGGGATGTTTCACTAAGTTCTTTGACATTTAGTTGTCCAAAAAAGGATCTTTCCAGTTTAGTGTTATTTATGTAATACTTTCAGTATCATCTTGCAATTAATTAGAAAAAAATTTTAAATGCATAGGTCTCCAAACTTTTTGTCCCATCACTGACTGTAGGACTTATCCCCACTCAATTCACTATTCTTTGTTTTTGTTTGTGTGTGGGTGTTTCTTTTTGTTGTTGTTGTTTTATCACTCTCTGAAAATATGTGTAACAGAACACTTGTCAGAGAGTTGCTGGACTGGAAGACTCTTTGATCACATCAAGATCTGTCTTTCTTGTAGACAGAAGATGTTCCTATGTGATGAGATTTGTGAAGCTCTGTCTTTCCAGCCTGCCAAGATGCCTGAAATCCCCAATATTAGTTATCCACATGGGAAAATAAAAAGTTTAAGATCTCCATTTAAGATGCAAATTTGGGAGAGGAAACATATTAACACATGCCTCAACTTTTTGAATCATTGCCTTAATTTACTCATAGTGAATTGTAACCCCAAGGAACTAAGCTCAGAAGAAGTACGCTTTGATAGAAGAGGAAATGACTTGGACCATATGAACTATTTAACAATTACTAAGAACTGACTAAATGTGAGGGTTTGTGAAGATAGGAACTTTTTTTCATTTATTCATTCATTCCTTAAATATTTATTGCATAATTTGAAGTGCTAAACCCTACAAAAGTTACTTGAGGTTGAAAAAAAATTTAAAAGTTAGCTAAAGAGATAACTTGCAAGAAAGCTGTGATAATGGGGATTGTTGGAGGGAAGG